TATCTTGTAAATTAACACGACCAGTGGCCAGTTCAGACATGGTTCAAGTGGTAACTGACGGCGTTTTATGATTCTTTTTTTAGCTCTATACAAAGAAAAAATAGAAAATAACTCGAGCTTCAGCTGCTACAGCTTGACTTTATCCCAGATTGAGTCACACAATATTCAAGTGCGTGTCTTTGTTGCGAAATCCTGCGATCTTGTTTACGCGCACTCACCAAACTTCCGGTTACATTGTTGCAATATACTAGTATTACAAAACATGCACGTATTGTTGCCTATACAGGGCAGCCTCACCCAGATCTGGCGTGGACATAATGATGGTAGTCGCATTCATTACACATTACGCTTAATTAAAATATATTAACGAATAAATGTTAATTGATTTCAATAAACTGTATTTTTAGAACTTAAAAGGAAAATAAATTTGTCATATAAAGAATTGATATGAACCCACTCTGATAGATGGCGTGTTGCAAGGAAATAATACCTTTATTCTACCACGAATGAATGGTATACAATATTTTCAATAAACGTTGCTATACTGGTATTTTCAGACAGCTCTCTACAATGATGATTTGTATAACATGATCATGAACAGAACAATAATGTCTTGATAGTGCTATTCGGAAATGTCGAATATGTACACAGTTCAAATATATTTTAGATTCAGGCAGATTTTTTTGTAGTTTGAATTGCGAGACTAGTTGATAGCGCTTGAGGTAAGTTAAACAGGGTCGCGGACAGGAAGTTACACATCGCCGCACCGTAACTGAGGCCAGCAACTCATTTGCATATAACATCAACAGTGACTTGTCAATCAAAAAGCAACGTAAACAAACTTTCTGGACTTTTAATCACATACGCGTGCCTCTGTTCCCTATATTTTAAAATCGATTTTTTTTAGTATGTTCCAGCATTGACGGTGCTCCGGAATTTTAACACTATCTAGCCAAGTCTGTCTGGGTAAGAAAAAGCAAAAAAAAAAAATTCACTCCGAGTGCCCACGAATCTGCATCTATACCTTAATATGTTGATATGTACGGAGTTTTGTAGATAATGAAAGATGTAGATTATTGTATTGCACAATACGATACTATATACATTCTGCCAACAACAGACTAATAGAGTCAACTCATTTGTGTACTGACACATGGCCAGATCCGAGATAGGATCCAGTTGTTATAAATGAACAGTTTTATGCCACATTGTTCCGCTAGACATTTCAACATTTCATAACATTATTTTTGACATCTATTGAAATTTATTTGTAGAATTTTAAGCCAAGAATTAATACATCTGGTGAAGTACATAACAGGAAGTGGTGGTCAACTACATCTACGTATAACCACAATATCACAGCGTGCGCTTTTGTGTGTTCTCGGCCACTTTAGTATCAACAGGGAAATAACATTAATATATATTTTCTGACCGTTAAACTATAAAATAAATCAAGCGGCCAGTGATAGATTAGAGCGTAATTCTAACCGCCCTAAGGGACGACGTCAAAAGATCGATGTCGGATAACAAAACTTATTTCCTTTAGTTTGGGGGTGGGGGGTTTTGACCTCAAAAAGTTTCCATCTTACAAAAACGATTTTATTTTTTAATGAAGTCAAAATAATCTTGGATATTTGTAGTTCGTTTTTTTTTTCTATCCAATCATGAACAGAAATAACCGAAAAAAGGGAAAAAACACAGAAAAAATGGTTTGGTTTGAGTGTAAATCTGTGCATCAAACGAGGTGCATTTGTAAAATCCACCCGCCCGACAACCAACTGCTATGCAATACTACTGTCCGATTATCAATTTGTATTCAATGGTGAATGTAGTCTGACGCCATGACCAATATTTATCAATTAAGTTTCAGTGGGGGGTAGGGGGGTTTGGAAAAAAACTAAAGGAATTAAGTTTTTTATCCGACATCGATTTTTTGACGTCGTCCCTAAGACATGTCAATTCTTAGTGCGCCCTCTATATTGAATAATGATTGCACTTACTTTTATTTGTCTTTGTATCATGCCTGCAGTATTATTTATTGTTATACTACTACTACTAATAATAATATGATTATGATTTGAAATATAACCATTTAAATGCTGTAATTGTGATTTTTGTTGTTCCAGTAGTTCTAGGGAAACCACTCTGAAGGAGAATTATGTTAGCCTAGCAGCTGATGTCTGCCATCAGGTAAAGATATGTTTGTTTGTTGTTTTAAATGTATCATTAAATGGGATGGATGAATGATACCAATAGTGTTAATAGTTGTATTTTCATCAACTTGCACTGCTATGATTAATCACGTACCATGTAACCTCTAGCTCCTATGCAAATTTGTGATCTGGTACCTCTTTGAAACGTTTGTTCAAAACAGGATTTGGTTCCTGATTGATCTGTATATATAATTATTATGCCAATTCTGGATTATTATTATTATTAGCATCAAGGATGAATATTACGGATACGGGTACACAATTTTGGTATATATATATATCATTATATATTTTGTGATTATTTCCACACATCCATCACAGAACTTAATCAATGGCTGTGAGTTGTTGAGAGGAGAACTACTTTTCACACAAAACTCATTTGCATTTAGTATTTCTTGAAATGTTTTTTGATTATCAAACAAAATTCATGTGACTTCAAATGAGATCTCACACCACATATCACATCAGTTGGGAACCCTTATCTTATCAATCCTTGATATATTGTATATTGAAAGATATTTTCTGAGAAAACCACTGAGATTGAAGTTACTCAAATGACATTTGTCAATACCCAACCTGGCAGTAGGAGTAAAAGACGACGCTTGGAATCTGGTTGGGAAATGATACGAGACGCTCTCACGCAGCAAGGTCACATGACAGAAACTATACCATGGTGAGTAACATTATATTTACTGAATGCTAAATTTAATTTTTTTTTTTAAATTTGTCAATTTTATGAAAATAAAATAAAAATTAAATTTAAAGTTTCAATAGTAATTTGTGTTCATTGGTAGTATTTAATGCCATCAGGGTAATAGTGTTTAAACTTAGCGCAACAATTTTAAAATAATTTTCCCAAATGTTTACAGGTGTTTGAAAATGCTGTAAAACTAAACTAAAAAGAAAAATATATATATACTATGTTTGAAAATGTGAAACAAAAATCTAATGCCTGATTTAATATATGCCCTTATTCGTTCACAAAATTAAAAACAACTTAAAATACTTTACATACAACTAGTGTAATATATAACAATGTTTTTATCTAAAGTGTGTAACAGTACAGCATCGAGAGTTTGCGTACGATCCAACACCTTCGTCAGTGGAGATAATATGACAATTTTGACTTCGGCTGTGTTCCAACAGACTCAAATGTTTTTAATTTCATAAATTCTGGTGGTACGTAATTAATATTGTAATAAAATGTGCATATTTGTTGTGATCATTTTTGTTTCTTCCTTGTGAAAATCAATGACGACTCAACTAATTTCGTAATTTGATTTTCCCTCAAAGACGTAATCTGTCACTTGATGAATCAAATTTTTCATTTGCACTCTTTTTCGAGGGGGTGCTCGGGTAAGCGCCCACCCCTAAAAAATCGTGATTTTCTGAGCAGAGGCCCCTGGGGCGCTAACGCGGTCGAGTACGGTAAGTGTTTTCTCTAGTGCTATCACCCCCCTCCCCCTCAGCTATGAGATATGCACACAAAAACATACAGTCATCTATGCATGGCCATCAAATGCATGCTGACATGTTTTATTCTTT